ATTTATATAATAAAATATCAAAATACTTGGTTTCTGAGAGTTCACTGGTAGAGTAAGTGCCTACATATACAGTATTTATAAATATACTAATTCTTTAATTAATAAATTATCAATAAAGTATCAAAATACTTGGTTTCTGAGAGTTCACTGGTAGAGTAAGTGCCAATATATATATAGAGCCCAGGGTTTGAACGCTAGTACCACACAAAAAAAAGGTTTCTGAAGGCGATATGGAGAGAGTGTTGACTGGTGGGCATAACGGCATTAGTTGAAGGGAGGAATAACTTCTCATATTCTGCTGTATAGTGGGGTAACTATAAGTGACAGTTCTTAGATATTTCAAAGGAGATCAAAGAGAGGATTCTGTGTTTCTATCACAAAAATAATGATACGTGTGAGGTGATAGATAAGTCAATTATCTGGCCTCTTCATCATATACTGTAAAGATATATTGAAATGTCACAGTGTGTGCCATGTTTCTATTAAAACAAAACAACCCCCTCACCAAAATATTTGGTTTCTATTGGCAGCAAAATCACAGTACTCATGGCTCTAAGACTTGTGCCTACACATTTTTAAAAATGGCTTTACTGAAGTATTACACTGGTATACACTAAATAATACATATTCTATTGTGTAACTTGAGAAATTCTGATCTTTGTATATAGGCATGCAGCCACCACTGCAATTTAGGTGTTAAATATATCCACCTTCCCCAAAGTTTCCTTGTGTCCTTTGCAATCTATCCATCTCCCTCTTCTGCCTCCTCTTTCCAGGCAATCTGCTCTTTGTCACTGCAGATTTGTTTGTATTTCCTAATCTTTTCCCCCCACCTCCTGCCTGTGGTATGTTGTGTGTGCACGCTGCATGAACGTGAGTGTTTGGGTGTGTGCCCTTGTGTGTGTATGCATGTGGAGGCAAGAGCAGGACACTGTTTTTCGTTTTATGGCTTTGAGACAGGGTCTTTTACTGAACCGGAAATTCATTGCTATTTTACCTAAGCTGGCTAGCCATTGAGCTCTTAGGATCCATCTATCTCCACCTCTCTCCCCTAAATCTGGGGTTATAGGCATGCCCAGCTATACCCAGCTTTATAGTGTGGTTGGTGAGGATTGGAACTCAGGTCCTATGCACACAGAGCAAGTACTCCTACCCATGCAGCCATTTCCCCTGTTCCCTTTTCTAGAGTTTTACACATATGTAATAAATAGTAAGCACTTTAATGTCTGGCCTTTGTTTCCCCCCAGTGTACTTACTTTCAGATTCACCATGTTGTATCGATAGTTCATTTTTTTTTCTATTTTATAGTTGAATTATGGTTTGCTTTGTTTTGTTTTCTAATTTTGAGACAGAATTTCACTATAGCTTGTTTAAACTCATAATCCTGCCTCTGCTTTCCAAATGCTGCGATTAGAAGTGTGCACTATGGGGCTGGAGAGAGAGTGCAGTGGTTAAGAACACTGGCTATTCTTGCAGAAGACCTGGGTTTGAATCCCAGCACCTATATGGCAGGTAACAACTGTCTGTAACTCCAGTTCCAGGGGATCTGACAGTCTCTACTGTCCTCTGCGGGCACTGCACATGGGTGCACTTACATGCAGGCAATACACACATACACATAAAATAAAAATAATAAATAAAATATTAAAAAAAAAGTGTGCACTACCATGCCAGGTCGTACACCACGGTTTCTTAAACATTCACATACTAATGGATGTCTGGGTTGTTGCCAGTGTTTGGCCACTGAGGATAAAGTTGCCATTGGTGTTGAGTACAAGATTTGGTTTGGACACCTGCCTTTCTTTTGAGTAAACACCAAGGAAGAGAATGGGTCCCATGGCAGGCAACTGTCTTTTAATGGCAGGTAAACTCTAGTTCTAACACAGAAGTTAGAGCCAGAAGAATAAACTTAATTAACTTAAATAAATTTGGGGCAAAGTGGTGGGAAACTTTTACTTGTTTTATCACAAAGTTCTCCATAAGGGAATAAAAAAGGACAAAGCAAGAAAATGTGCAAAATTTTAGTATAAGCTGAAAAGGTCTCTCTTTTTGCTTGCTGCTTTCTTGGGTGTGGCAGTACAAATCATGCATTTTGGAAAGACTGATGAGCTAGGATTTTCTTGTATTGTTACTTGCCTTTTGTTATAATTGGGGGTACAGCTGAGTAGTAGAATGATTGCCTAGTTCAAGGCCTGACAGGCAAGCAGGAAGGCACGCAAGTAGGCAGAAGACAGATAGACAAGATGCAACTGGCAAAGGACTTGACATACTAAGTTCAAAGAGAGGGTGGCTTGGTAATATCAAAGACTGAGAAAAATAGGCTATTTAAGTAGCTGTAGACTGACATCTCTTCAGCTCACCTGTAAAACCTTATTTTAAACAGTGTTAGAAACTGTAAAAATGGAGATTTGATACTAAGCACTAATTTCCATCAAAATGAGACTTCATCTAAATTACCCTCATAAACTTACCTGTAAAGGCTCACTGTGAGGGTTGTGTATGTTTATTATAGGTGAAAAACTGCTATTCACAGGGACTCTGGCCCCAAGGAATGGCCTCAAACGGTAAGGATTTGGAACCCCAACACCAAATACCTGTTTCAAAGGAAAAAAAAAAAACAAAAAAACCTTTTGAGTTTTTTTTTTTTTTTTTTTTTCTTTTTTTTTCTTCTTTTTGAGACAGGGTCTCCCTGTAGCCCCAGCTGTCCTGGAACTCATTATGTAGACCAGGCTGGTCTTGAACTCACAGAGATCCACTTGCCTCTGCCTCCCGAGTGCTGGGATTAAAGGTGTGCACCACCACGCCAGGCTTTTGAGTTGTTTTTATAACTAGCATTTTTACAGTTTTGGCTCTATTTAACCTACAGAAAACAGTGATCTAATTTTTAAAAATATTTATTTATTTTTACACCCATTTCCCAGATAGCACCCTCCAATACCCTCCCTCCCCCGACTACAGCCCTTATACTCTGATATCCCTGCTACTGTCTGCTGTGTTGACGGCACCCGCGGGCATTCTCCACTACTTGCCCTTGTGGGCAATCTAGTCAGCCTATCTAGAAGTCTTTGTTTTAGGCGGGTCAGCTGTTCCTCACCTAGCAGTAATCAGTTGTCAATATTCTTTTGGATAAGATTGGGGTCTGCTGTTCATTTTCCCAGTTCTATGCTGGGTTACTATCTAGGAATCCCTTTGGTGTTTAGTTTAAGGCAGTGGGGAGGGAAGGGTATACAAGGAGCCTAGGGGATAAAGGAAAAGAAGGAGCTCAAGAAAGGTAGGACCATAGGAGAAGCGTATTATTAGGGGAGAAACAGGAAAAACAGGGGCATCTTAAATGGAGAAACCATGATAGAAGGATTAGACAATGTGAGAGATAAATAATGTGTAGCTAGTTTTAAAAAACCAGAGGGAACCATAAGGACACTTTTTGCTCCTTGCCCTCCTAGGTTGACTAGTTCGAGGGGACTATGAGCATCTATCAAAATGTACTATAATGGAGGTGGGTCACCTGTCCTCTTGATCAAGGAGGCCGAGGAGACCCCACCAGATGGACTTGAACCAGTGTCCAGTGTACAAAGAGGAGGGTCAATACAGAGGAATCATTTCCTCCATGCTTCCAAGTGAAGCCAACCATGGTCGAGCAGGACCTTTGACTTAACTTCACATAGGCGGAACTGGTAAAAGAAAGGAGCCAGGGGCTCCTCCAAAGCCCAGTGATCTAATTTTGATGTGAAAAATATTAACTGCTTCTTTAAAATTTGACCACATATTTGATTTATTCTATTTGTATAACTGGAATGATTTCTATAATATATCGGAAACTGAAATGTGAACAATACTTCACTAAATCATGAAATATACACAAAGAAGAAAACAGAACTGAAAAATGTCCCCACTCCAACCACCAAGAGACAGATCTATGACTCAGTGCTCGAACCTCAAGCCCACACACAGGTTAATCCTATACTGAAATACCCTAAGGTGATTAAACAAGTGGAGTCAGTTATTCAAATGGTAAGTATTTAATGTCATGATAATGCTAAGCACAAATACATACAGGAAGGAACAATTTAATAGTGAACAAGATAAACAATGTGCCTGTGCTCATGAAACTTATACTCTAGTACCAGGACAGACTAGATAGAACAAAGATTCTTTTAAACACTGCTTTGGTTATATAGTAAACTATGGGCTGTAGGAGGAGTTGGAGTAGCGGAAGGTAGCTAGACAGCTATCCTGTAAGCCAGAGAGGTAATGGCAGCTTGAAAAAGAGCTGGGGTTAGTGAAGAGTGAAGCAGAAAGGTTTGAGGTGTATTTAGGAGAAAGGTTGGAGAACAAACCAGGTGTGGAAAGATACAGATAGCCCAGAATACAGTTGGCCATAGAAAACTATCTCAATGAAAAACCTGATTACAACACACAGAAAGTATAGAATGGCTGTAACCACCTAGGTCTGGCTGGGTAATACCTTGGGGGAGCCATGCCCTTCATTCATGTAATGTTTACTTACTAAATAGGCAAGTATAGTTAGGGGTAGAGGGTGCACCTAGAATATACA